GATTTGAGAGGGAATGTGAGACAGATATGTTTTTTTTTTCTTTTAATTCTGGATAGATCAAACCTAAATGACTTACTAAGAGTAGAGAGAATAGTGATTTGAGAGGGAATGTGAGACAGATATGTTTTTTTTTTCTTTTAATTCTGGATAGATCAAACCTAAATGACTTACTAAGAGTAGAGTTCCCTCTCAAATCACTATTCTTGTGAGACAGATATGTTTTGTTTTCTTTTCTTTCAATGCTAGATAGATCAAACCTAAATGACTTACCAAGAGTACAGAAAATAGTGATTTAAGAGGGAATGTGAGACAGACATGTTTGTTTTTTTTTCTTTTAATTCTGAATAGATCAAACCTAAATGACTTACTAAGAGTAGAGAGAGGGAATCACTATTTGACTAAGTGTTGGTGATAATACACAATATGGTACATTAATTGTTCGTAAACAATACTTTAAATGCCATTATTATAAGTGACGTTTTCATAGGGAATTTTTCTTTTAATAATTACCATTTCTTCGACGTTGCAGAGTTCATCAATTCACCAAATTGGAAATGTTTGGAGTGACCGCTAATGAAACTTCTACAGAAAGTGAGCAGTTGTTGGACGAGTTCACAACCATCCAAAGATCACTGTTTCAGGAAATCGGCCTACATTTCAAACTTCTTGACATGCCTGCCAGCGACCTTGGAGCTCCAGCTTACAGGAAGTTTGATATCGAAGCTTGGATGCCTGGTCGTGGTATATACGGCGAAATATCAAGTGCTTCAAATTGTACCGATTATCAAAGTCGAAGGTTGCATATAAAATATGAAACTCAGTCACCAGATGGCAGGAGAGTCTTAAAGCACGTCCACACTGTAAATGGAACCGCTTGTGCTATACCACGTATGTTGATAGCAATTCTTGAGAACTTCCAAACCAAAGATGGAGATATAAGGATACCGGACCCTCTGATACCACATATGAGAGGTCTTGCTGTAATAAAGAATCGCAGAACAAAGGATAAAATTTACTGGACCAAGTTAAAATCGATAAAATGAACCGCCTTGCTCTCGCGATTAGAAAATACGATTTCGTAATGTATCGATAAACTTTGATTATACCCATGAAAGTGCCTACTTGCGTCTGGTGGTGAAAACGTAAAGCTATCATACCTCAGGTGCTTCTTTCACTGTTAGCCAGAACCCTCGCGGAAAGTGTATTTATTTCCATTTTAATTCCTCTCGTGGGTTTTGAAACGAACGTTATTTATTAAACTAGTATTTAAAAATATTAACGCTATTGTTATTCATTTGTTACATCAACGTTACAAACTTTTCTGGAAGTCGAGAAATGTCGTCAGTTTTTATTGTTCATATTAACTTAGTGATTTTTATATTATACAAGCTATGTGTAGCTGATAATATACTCAAGAGAAGTAAATTCTGGTATTCTCTGTGAACACCTGCTTTTCTTGTGACTCAAAGCGACACCTATATTTTTATTTGTGCGTTATAACTTGAGCAAAAAGTTTATATGTGATGTAAATAATTATTGTTGGTTTAGTCTTATATAAACGTTTTTTTTTATACAGAATTATTTTGCAAATGCTTTATCATAGTATATATTGAAGTTATAGAAATGACCTCGTATTTGTCCAAAATAAGAATTTAAAAGAAACTACGGAAAGTTGAACGGACAGTTTTAAGTGACGAAGCACGTGCAAAGGAAGCCATTACTTTAAAAGTTTCCGCCTTGAATCTGAGGCAAGCTCTATCTTCCGCACGAGATTGCGTGACATGAATAAGTTTTTATCTTCTAAAACAAAAATTGTAATGACGGAGACTTTCATGGAACCTTCCGCCTGACTTACTACAATAAGTATCTCTCAGAATGTTCTTTCCGTTCGCCATTTTCAAAATCTGCTGTATAAAACAAAAAATGTATTATTGCTGACTTTTTGATATTTAGAATTAGTGACAGAACGTCTCAGTTCGTATTCGTATTGAACTACATGTTTTCGAGCAAAGTTAGAGAACGTGGCTATTCTTTACCACCACCACCCCTTTATAGAGTATATGCACCAGTCTGTATCAATATTAGAAACCACAGTTAGTTGTTTTTTTTAATGTTTTTTAGGAAAATCTTTAAACTTTCTTATGTTACTAAAATAAGAATTGTTATTCTTTGTTTGTGGCAAATCTACTGTCGCTGTTCCTAATTTTGAGCTTCCAACCACAGGCAGCAGCACCGACTGCCAGCTCTTGGGCTACATTTCGTGGACTTGATAGACACATTATAACGCCGTCATGGTTTAAAGGATGAGCAGGTTCGGTGCCGGGTTTCTATCCCACTGCCTGTTGAGCATCCTAACCACCACCACACCCAAGATTTATGAAAGTAACAAAGAAGAAAAAGTGATAAAATACTGAAGTATTTAGTTTGATGGAGTGATTTCTATGGTTACACAGTACAGCATTACTAACGTTAAATATCCAAATAAAAGTGAATTAACATAGCCCTATTGATGGTCTTATTAAATAGATGGCGACGTTAAATATCCAAATAAAGGAGGTAAGTTTAACGAATTAAAGTGCTAAAATCCTGGTTTCGATTGACCGATGGGCAAAACAATATTAGAACATGGTTTTGTGAAGACTTTCCATGTATAAGGACAAGACATGAAAAGTTCTAGTCTAACAAAACTAGAATAGAACATGGTTTTGTGAAGACTTTCCATGTATAAGGACAAGACATGAAAAGTTCTAGTCTAACAAAACAAGAATAGAACATGGTTTTGTGAAGACTTTCCATGTATAAGGACAAGACATGAAAAGTTCTAGTCTAACAAAACAAGAATAGAACATGGTTTTGTGAAGACTTTCCATGTATAAGGACAAGACATGAAAAGTTCTATTGCAACAAAACAATATTAGAACATGGTTTTGTGAAGACTTTCCATGTATAAGGACAAGACATGAAAAGTTCTATTGCAACAAAACAATATTAGAACATTGGTTTT